CAGAACAAAAAGAAATCATACCTCATATAAGCTATTCCCACGTGAATCTTGGAGACAAGCACTGTCGGTACAAATAGTTTAGGCCAACTGGTTACTGAGAACTGGAATAAGCCTGATCTCCTCATATTGACATCGCTCGTAGGTTGCCTTCCAAACAGACTGGGCCAAAACTTGGTCTTCACTGGACACAGACCGTAGTGAGAAATACGCACCAACTGCACCTTCAGCGACATGGTCCTGGTGCAGTCACTATCCCTGGAACTGTTGCAAACCCATCAGTTGTAGAAGCAGCAATTTTCTAAACATAAGGCTAAGTTGGGGCTAAGTATGGAACTGTTTCAGAGGCCACCTGTGGGCATACCACATTAGGACCATTTTGCTAAAAATCTGATTTTTAAGAAATGATCATGATAGTATGGTTAAAGATTCATCCAAACCTGTAGAGAAGGTGTGAGAGTAACGGCAGGCAGTGGTCAAATAAAGGTTCAGAGTCCCCATTTTTTATTTCCTAGGGCAGCTCTTGCAGTTTTCTCCTGCACATTATTTCAAATGGTTCTTTAATGGGCTTTCTGGTTTCCAGATAATAACTACTTCTACAGCACTGCCATGCCTAGCAATAAAATCCTAGGAGAAACTACCTCAGTTGTGAATTTTTGATGCTGTGAATGGGATTTTAAGGAGAAGCTATGAAAAAGGGGAAATGACTATTCCCTGCAGGACTGTTTTGGCTTGTACCATGTTCTATATACAATTAAAACCGGTAAAGTTTTAATGAAGATAATCCATCTATATGGTAAGACAAATTTTAAATGGTAATAAGGAGATAAAGTAAGGAATAAATCTCCCTTCTTATCTCCCACCCCAACATAAGTCCCAGTTCCTTTCCCCAAACTTTAACTTTTATGGCTGTGCTTTGCTAAACAGCTTTATATGCAAATATAATGGCTCTATATGCAAATGAAACCATACCAAACACACTATTCCACCTGCCTGTTTCCTTTCAAAAATGTATCCTGGAGCTCTGTCCACACCCACATACACAGATCCATCTCCTTGTTTTCCACTGTGTGGGTGTCCAGTGTTGCAGGTTACCCATTAAGCAACCCATTATTGACGGACATTTAGGTTGGTTTTGGTTTTTCTCTATTTTAAAAAATCTGCTGGGGAGTAGACATGTAGTTCAGTGCTCGAGCATGAACTAGGTTTACCCAAGGCCCAGGGTTCGATCCCCAGCTTGAAAAAAAAAAAAAGATATCTTCGTTACAAACACTTTTATGTGCTTAGAGAAGTATAGTGCTAAGTAGTTTCCTGGAAGTCAAATTCTTAGGTCCAAGTGTATGGGCATTTCAAATTTTACCAGTGTCATCAAATTGCCCTCCAATGTGGCTGGGTCAGTTTACATTCTCCCCAGCCGTGTTGCGGACTCTTGCTTGCCTACACACCTGGCCACATCGACAGCATTACATTTTTTTAAATGTTTGTCGGTCTGGTGAGTCAAAAATATCTCATGGTGGTTTTGATTTGCATTTCTTAAATTATAAGTAAGGCCGAGCACAGTTTCATTTGCTTATGGAACACAAGTACTTGGTTTTCTGCAAAGTCCCTATTTATCATTCTTTGCCTGCCTTTGTTTTGAGCTCTTCGCCTCTGCTGCCAAGTATACTTACATTCAGCAGATGTATATTGAGTTCTTTCTGTGTGGGGAGCACCTAACAGGGCCTGAGAGCTCTAACTGAATAAACACCACTTTCTTTGCCCTTGTGGAGCTCACAGTGAACTAGGAGTCAAACATGAATCAAATCATTATCCAGATGCGCATATGAACAAACTGAGGTAAAAGCCTACAAGACAGCCCATGTGTCTTCTAGAGCACGTGAGGGAAGAGGCAGGCTGGACCAGGGGGGAGGAGACTTGCCCAGAGAAGCCACCTTCCCAGGATGAATGGGATGCAGAGCTGAGGAGGGTATTTCCAGAAGAAGGGGCTGCATTTGGAGGGAACATGATGTATTCCATGAGCTAATGCCCACGAAGACAGCACAGAGGGCGGAGAGGCACTGGCCCAGATAAGACTGGGCCACGTCACCCAGGCCCCTCAAATGTTGGGACTCACTTTTTTTATCCCTGAGCAACCAAAACCCACAGGAGGAGTTTGAGCCACAGTGGTGATCTAGTCTGTATTGTGAGAAACTGGCTCTGTGTGAAATGAAAAGAGAGAAGGAGACCGGGGAGAAGGTCCTTGAACTAGTCCAGATGAGATCTGATGGTAGCTTGAACCTAGCAAGGACGCTGAGGATGGCCGGGGATACAGCTCATCGGCACAGTGCCTGCCTGGCAAACCTGAGGTCGTGAGTTCGATTCCCAGTACTGAAAAATGAAAAAATAAAAAATAAAAAAAAAGGAAGCTGAGGAATAGCAGATAGGTTCAATAAATACGGAAGAGGTAAAGTAAAATTTGATAATGGATCAGATACAGGGGAGAAGGAAGGGAGTGGGTGTCTGGGATGACTCCCAGGTTTCTGATTAGATGGAGGAGGGTACCATTTACTAAGATAAGAAATGCTACAAGAAGACCAGGGTGGGCTCAGTGTTAGACGTACAAGTGACACCATCAAGCAGGCAGTTAGATATCAAAGTCTGGAGCCAGAGGCAAGTCTGAGCTGGGAAATAAATCCGGCAGTCATTAGCATATACTAATTGAAGTCATGGCAGATGAGATTGCTCATGAAAGGATAGAAAGTCCCCATCAGGTCTACACTTAATCCTTAAGGAAGTGTAACATTTAATGGCCACCAGAGAAGGATAAAACAGAAAGGAAAACCAATGAACAGGTTGAGAGCTGAAAGGGAAACAGGCTGAGTGTAGGGATCCCAGAAACAAGTAGGATCCCCGGTGCTACTAACCCATCCAGTAAGAGGAGGCCTGGAAAATGGCCATTGGATTTAGCAACCTGGGGGTTGCTTAGTGACATTAGTCTGATTTGAGGGAGGAGTGGTTTTGTTTTCATCATCCCAGAGACTGGGGGTTGAACCCAGTGACTTCACATCTTCAGACTGTTTGTTAATTTTTTATTTCAAAAACAGTGTCTTGGTAAGCCACTAAGTTGACTCGGTTAAACTTGAACTTGCCATCCTCCTGCCTCAGCCTCCCAGCATCCCCTGCTTTGTTTGAATTTCTTTCTTTGGAATGATGGGCGTGAGTCAGATTGGAGATGGTTGAGAAGTTAATAGGAAATAAGGAAACACTGTCCGGACCTCTCTCAAGAAATATGGTTCTTAATTTTTTTAAAAGTAAACCCAACCCCTTGCCTGTTCTTCCCAACTGGATTCTTTTTTTGCTGCTCAGTAAGCTGAATCAACTTTATAACTCAGGACTCAGAGGTCCCAGCTTCAGTCTCTCAGTAGCCATGGCAACAAGGCAGCCAGGGTGGAATGCACAGGAAATATGCCTTTGGAGACTCTCCTGCCTCTTCATGAAGCTCCTGACTCTGCAGGCCAGGTCTCCAGGAAGGCTCATCAAAAAAATGTTGCCACAAAAAGGTTTAAGAAAAAAATAGAATATTTCCAGAACACCTACTGAAAACTTTAAGGAGAAATGGGTCTGGGATTTGCAAAGTGAAACATGATAAGCCGCGAACTGATCATTGTTGAAGCTGGGCAATGATACATGGCCGTTTAGTGGGTGATTGCCCTACTTTTGTGTATGGATAAATTTTTCCATAATAAATGAGTAATGTTAAATTTATGTATTTGGTGAGGTGAAAGTACAAAGGGCCGGTGGCCATCACAGATCCTCTGTGATCCAGTCCACAGGTCCATAATGTCCAGCATTGCATTGGACCAAGCCACCATTGGCTTGTGGATTCCAAGTGCCAGTGTCACTGTGGAAGTTCTCCCTTCAGCTTCCCCCGTTTCTTCTCCCACTAACCCAAACGCCTTATTCAGTGTTCTCCTTTCTCATCTCCCTTCTGGGTACAGACTCCAAAGCACAGATCTGTGTCTTATGATCCTTGTAAACATGAACCGGTTCCCTCTGAACCAATCTCCGGAAATGAAGATACTAACATCCGCTTAGCAGAGTCACTGCGATTGCATTTGAGAGGCATGGGAGGATGGGGATATCTAATGCAGCCCACAGCCTCCAGTGTCCACAAAAGCCAGGAAGGATCAGAAATAAATGAAGCTGGCCAGGTGTAAAAGAAAACCATGTGACTGACCCTCTTGGTCCATCTTTAGCTTTGCCACCTTCAGTAGACATACAAGAGGAATTATAAGAAAATTCTATTCCATAAGGAAAAAATGTGAGCATGGTAATAGGTGACATAAGCCATGTATCCAGGAACTGAGGCTCAGCCGCAGTGCGGCGGAGCAATAGGGGTGGTAGGGATGGAGGTGAGCGGGAGCTCGCAGCTCCCCGATGAAGAGGCAGTTCTGCTAGGCTCCAGCTGGTTCATGCCAGGAGGGAATGAAGGGCCAATGTTAACATGTCTTCCTGTTTTACAAGAAAAGCTACAATTCTAAATTTTTTACATGAAATTTCCCAACTCTTAACTTTAAGCTCAATTATTAAAAAAAAAAAAAACACTACAAAACCCAAACCAAGTCCGCCTGTGGGCCAAAATCAGCCGATGGGCTGCCCCAGTGCCAGCTCTCCCATGGTGATGTGTGTAACATCAATTCCTTTCCCCTTTCCCGCTTTGTAATCTTTCCCCCGCTTTCTTCTTTCCCTTCTATTTTCCCCATCCTCTCCTGACCTCTCCCACCCTTCGTTTCTACTCGAAGTCCAAGTGGCAGAGAGGAACAGGACAGGGAAAGCGATAAAGCCCAAGGCGATGTGCTCTGGGTGCCTCACGGGGGCCCAGGGCCTCCTTCCTTGCCTGGCACATGGTGGGCTACTGGGGAAACCCTGGATGGGCGAACGAATAAGTGCACCACCTGGAGAGTTGGTTCCGTTTCTGGTGCACTCTGGACTTACCTGAGGAACTGTCTCATTTTCCTCAATAGCCCTGCGAAGTCGTTCTGGCCGCTCCATCATCAATGGGAACTGGGCAATTGACCGTCCTGGAAAATATGAGGGTGGAGGGACCATGTTCACCTACAAGCGTCCCAATGAGATTTCGAGCACCGCTGGAGAGTCCTTCCTGGCCGAAGGTCCCACTAACGAGATCTTGGATGTCTATGTGAGTTTGGATGTTTCTGGACTATTCTTTGGATTTTGTGTTGGTTGCTTCCAAGGAACACACTTAGAACAAATAAGGAACAAATCACTGCCCGGGTTCCATAAAATCATCTGTGCAGACCCCGTTTGAGGTACCCCTGAATTGCTTGGCAATCATCTTTGCCATTTACCTCTGACTGTACCTAGCTCAGAGAAACCTTAAACTCTCCCAGATGCTTGTTACCCTCAGACTTGATGGACCCAGTAACACCAATGTTATTTGTTAAACCAAATTAGAGGCAAACATATCCTCTATATTCATGAGCACTGGGGTTCCTCATAGCACTTTGCAACCAGTGCTAATTTGGCCTGTTTTCTCTTCACGGCAAAAGAAAGCAAACGCCTCATGCAAGGCAAGACCACTTCAAACTCTCGTACAGCAGGTGAAGAAAGAGCACCTAGAGCACCCCAGGTAAAACAGTAAAGCTCAGAGTGACATCGGGGTTTACCAGAAGTTGGAAACTAAAATGTTAAGTTGCCCGTGGGTTAAAAAACGGTCCCTATTTTTAAAGGAAATGATTAGTCTCCAGTCTTCTGAAAAGATCAGGAAATAAAGTGTGACAAGAAATGCGAGCTTAAAATAACATTTGGATAGAGAGAATGAGCTCACCCACAAATACACATTCTCTCAGTGTCCCCAAAGCCAGGTTGGTCTACATGATATTTGTTGTGTCAGAGATTCAGAAATATTAATTGCATTATGATTACTTCTCCAACTCTCTAGTTCTGGGTCCATTCCTCCTGGGTGTAGTGGACTAGAAATTACAAAGGAAGCCTTGTTATAGTTAATTTGGGGTGTTTTTTTAGGCTGTCCACTTGGTTGGTTAACTCCGGGTAAATTTTGAATGGTATCAGAGGTAGACTCGGGTTGTTGAAGGGCGGCTGTGGGTGGTCTGAGAAAGGTGGCCAAGAATAATTTCACAAATGGCGCAGGGCTCACAGCGGCAGAATGAAAGGGAAAGAGTAAGAGACTGTGTGGAAAGAGAAGAAAGGGATTGGGGCAGACAGCAGGGGCCCGGGGTGGCACAACTGTGTCCCTCAGGGGTTCTATGCTCAGTGTGCTGTTCCCACCTTGCCCAGGAGCTGCTGCTGGTTCCTGGAGTCGGGACCTGGGACTTCTTCCGGGTCCCTGCCTCTGGGTGACTGATGGGACAGGGACCTATTTCACAGTCGGAAGGCATGAGAGGTGATGACGTAAACAGGAGGATCAGCACAGGCCTCCCTGTGCAGGGTCTCGGAGACACTTGTAGGTCGGCAGAGCTAAGAAACCAGCTGTGGTTCTCATCTCCTCCTTCTCCAGATGAAGAAATCAAGATCTGTGGGATTCCAGGCAGTGCTCTGGGTCCCACAGCTGGTCAGCAACAGAGCCACTTCATAAAGCAATCAAGACAGAAGTAGCAAACAAGTCAGTGTCTCCTCACTCAGCTCTTGTTTCCGGGCTACATTCACGTCCCATGGCCCCATGCAGCCCACCTGCCTCCCCTGTGACAGCCATGGCCATGAAGGACTAGGTAGTGCACGGCCCATGGGGAGGCATTTAGGAGATAGATACTGATTTCTAATTGTTTCTTTCCCAACTCTATTCAGCTACCGACTTCCGCAGCCCTGTGCGGCAATTTTCTGGCTCTCCCAATATGAGAGAGTGTGACCTAAGGATATGCACTTCCCAACCTGGTCTCTTCATGGACCTGGGGCTTTTCTGTGGGTGAAAGGGGGCAGAACCCTAAGATCCAACAAGGGAGAGGGCTAGGGCTAACCTGAAGCCAGCCTCTCCGGCCCAGTGTAGGACTTCAAAGGACCCTAATGTCGCAGGCCCACTCTGCCAAGGGTGTCTCAGCCTCATTTGCCTGACTCCTTGTCTCACCCCCTAGTGATCAAACCAATTCTCTGGCAGCACAGGTATATTTATATATTTGGGACACTGAGCCAAACCTACACCACGGTAGGGGATACCTAAGAACCAATAGAAAGATCTGCTCCTGTTGCTTCCAGCTTCCTACTTGGAACTTGTAAAAGCTTGACTCATGGCCTAATTTTCTGCTGACTCACTCAAGGATTAAATTCTTCATTCCTCAAAAGCACATGATAAGCTGGGCATAGTGGTGCATACCTGTCGTCCCAGCTATTCCAGAGGCTGAGGCAGGAGGATCACAAGTTTGAGGCCATCCAGAATAATTTAGCAAGACCTTGTCTCAAAAAAAAAAAAAAATACAAGTGCGAATAAGTAGTTGGTGAGAAGCTATCTGGAAATTGTGCCATTTAATTGGTCACAGGTTTACTAAGAGTACCAGGTTGCCACTTGCGCCATTGAAACCTAGGCCAGCAGGAAAGGAGCCGTGTGTGTGTGCTGAGTTCAGTGATGCTGACTTTTGTGTCCCCAGATGATACACCAGCAGCCCAACCCTGGCGTGCACTACGAGTACATCATCATGGGCACCAATGCCATCAGCCCGCAGGTGCCGCCGCAGAGGAGACCAGGTAGGATTCCCGTCTTACCCCAAAGCACGTCAGTCACTTCCTCTTCATTCCTCTCCTTCCTGTGCGTCCACCCTCCGTCTCTCAAGCCGTGCAAATCCCACATAAAGTCGGGGGGTCTTGATGTCAGAGCATGCTGTGCCTTCTCCCAAGCTACCAAGACTGTTTCAGGCGCTCGATTTACAAGCAGAGTGAACGTCCTCGTCCACCTTTCCCCATCCTTTCTTGAGGTGTCTTCTATTCATTTCCTGTTGCTGCTGTAGCCAAGTACCTCCCGCCTAGTGGCTCAGAACAAGACACCTTCGCTGTGTGATTGTGCTGCAGGTCCTGAGTCTGAAGGGTTTCACTGCACCAGAATCAAGGTGTCAGCAGGCCCAGGCGCACCCCTCTCGAGGAGAACCAGTTTCCTTCCCTTTTCAGCGTCAGGAGGCCCCGGCCTTCTCGGTTCCTGGCCCCTTCCCCCACCTTCCCATCTGTCTCCTGCTCCGATTCTGGCTTCTTCCATCACCACATCTCCTGCTCTGCTCCTCATCTGCCTGTCACTGTCCTTCCCAGGGACCCTTAAGATTACATTTGGTCCCTCCGGCTAGAAAAAGTCCATCTCAACATCCTTCCCGTAATCACACCTGCCATCTAAGGTCACAGATTCCAGATTCAATTAGAAGCTTTCCCTAATTTGTTCTCAGTCCTCCACTTCCTCAGTTAGTAACCTTTGAACTGATCAGAAGAGGATGGCCAGTGCATAGTGAGCAATCCACCTGGGGGGCTCCCGGGGGTGCTGCTGGTGGATGGGGCAGGCGATTTGGGCCCTGAGCTGGATGGGGCTCCACTGTCTGCAGCCATCACCCCAGAAGCTGGGGAAGGAGCCCGCTGCCCAGTGGAGGCTGCGGAGGTCCTGAGAACGTAGAGCCCATGTGCACTGGGCCCTCAGTCTCTGAAATTTGCTCGGAAGGAAGGACTACTGCATTGTTAGCCTCATTTTTGAAGAGTAAGGAAATGGAAGCGTAAGAAGGTTAAGTTCTTTGCCTACGGCTCACACTTGCTCAGGGACCTCCGGATGGGCCGTGTGCCTAAACCCTGAGCTTGTTATGCTGCCTGGAGGGTTTCTGGCTCGGTGACTATCTCAGAAGAGAGGGAACAAACGCCAGAGCTGGCTGGTCCACCCTTCCGCAGACTGCAGGTTGGGTAACTGGTCATCTGACTGTCACGGATGGAGAGGAGTGGCCTGGCTGCCTGGAGATAGCAGGTGGTGGGTGCCCAGCACATGTGAGGGAGTGTTGTCCACACCCCAAGCCAGCATAGCACCTGGATAGAGAATCGGTATGCGCTTTCCAGGCATGCGCAGTCCGAGAAACCAAGTTTCTCGTGGAAAATACTCGGATTGCTGGGACCTGTGGTCGATTTTTAGGGACGACTGGACACACTGAAGTCAAGTGCACTGGTGATGTTTGTAAACAGACCAACGGGTCCAGCCAATGGGGAGCAGGAGGGTTGTAGGGTCAACTGCCTGGGACAGCCCAGGTCAGAACGGGTCAGCTGTAAAGAGGGAGGGGGAAGGGTGTTAGGAGCCAGGCCCCCTGCTCCATGTCAACAGGCCAGGGGGCCAAGGTCTGAATCCACATCTGCCACTTTCTTACTGTGCACCCACGGGCAAGTTAGTAACTTCTCTGAACTCCTCTCCAATCTACAAAATAGAGGGAAAGAAACTACATTTAAAAGTGGTCTTTGGGGACATGTGGAGAATAAACGGGGTATCCATCTTAGTGTAGTACCCGGCACATACAGGACACTGGGAAGATTCAGAAATGCTTTGGTCTGGTAGTCTCCCGGCCAGCCACATGGATATCAACACGCCTGGCCTTCTTTCTGTGGGTCTAAGCTTCCTCTAATATTTTAAACCCCATAGTATCCTAGTTAGCCAATTAAAGTACTGGTAAAAGACGGGGAAAGCCCCAACATTTTCCACTGTGTCCTACAGTAACGCTAGCATTTGCCCCCTTATTTTTTACTAAACTGGTACACACCTGAACAATATTGAAGCAAAATAAAAATACATACATTCCAAACTCCTGCCCCACCATCACCCAAATTTGGAAGCCACCAAGATGCGCTTCCTTGGGTGGATAGATCAACGGCGCTGTATCCGGACAGCGGAATAGCGTTTGAGGGTGAGAGTAAAAGCTTTGAGCCCCCGAAAGACACAGAAGGACCTAAAATGCATGCGACTAAGTGAGGAAGGCCCGTCTGAAAGGGCTGCATCCTGACTGATTCCAACTATGTGACGTTCTAGAAAAGCCAGGACTATAGAGATAAAAAAAGAAATCAGTGGTTGCCTAGAGCGGCAGGAGAGACTGGCTGTCACAGCACGGGACCGCAGGGCAGTGTACCGTCCTGAACGACACCGCAGTGTGGGTGCGTGTCGGCTCACGTGTGTCCAGACCTGTGGAACACCTGTTACCAAGTGCGGACCTCGTGCCGATCTTGGACTCTGAGCGACACTGACATGGCGATAGCGTTCATCAGTGTGACACATGTGCCCTGTGGCTTGCACGTGGACAGCGAGGCTGTGCTTGTTCAGGAGCAGAGGCCACGGGAACCTCTGTACCTTCTCCTCAGTTATGCTGTGAACCAAAAATTGCTCTAAAAAAATTAAATAATAAAGAAAAAGCAACAGCCTCCTGCCCCATCCTCTTCCCAGTGGGAATCTCTCTTCACAGTTTAATTCAATGGGATTCTGCCTAAGCCCTTTCCATCCATGTGCAAATATGTCTGCAGACAATTTGACTCTTTGTCTACGATCTCAGATATACAGGGAATATCGAATATCATTATTTTTCATTCGTCAGTTTAATCCAACCTCAACTTCAGTCCTTTGAAACTAGTAAAGAAAGAAATTCAATTTCAGTCAGTATGGGAGCTGCACACACACACACACACACACACACACACACACACACACACACACACTTCAGGTAAGAGGGAAGATCCAGAGTCTCAGAGGGCCATGGACCACACCCTCTGGAGCTCTGTCCATACCAGTTCCACCGAGGCATCCTCAGAAGGGTCCTTGGAGACCTTCCGGTCAGGACTGTGCCTCTTCCGGCCTGTGCTGGGTCCTCAGGATGTGCTGGGGAGGGTGGCAGCCAGGGCCCCGGTGCTGCCCAAACATGGCCTCCTGCTGCCTGGCACGTGCAAGCTGCTCGGAAACCTAAGTCGCCTTCTCTTGTGTTGAAAACAACACACTCTACACTGTCCCTTCCGCCTCCTTCCTCCCCTCTCCTTCCCCCTTCCTTCTCTTCCTCTTCCTCCTCCTCCTCCACCTCCTCCCTTTCCTCCACCGCCTCTTTAGCCGATGCCCCTGGACCTCTGCTTTCCCCTCCCCGAGAGTCCAGGCTTGTGCCTGGGTAAGAGAGGGCTGTTGACTTCAGGCCGTTTCATTTTCTCCCCTGTAAAAACACCAATGCCAGAAAGTCCAAAGGCATGGCCTCTCTGTCAGACTGGGGGACCAGGAAGGGGAGCAAAGGCTGCGAGCAAAGGTAGCGAACCAGACACAGATTGATATCTCAAAAGGCAGCCCGCCACATCTGTGCATGGGTGTGCGCAGGGTGAATCCTACGCTTCGTGTTGCCGCTGCTCAAGCACCATACTGGAGCCCTGTGACACCGTCAGAACGTATATTTTTGTGTCCTTTTTTTAAAAAAGAATAAGAGTGTATCCGAGGATATAGCTCAGCAGCACAAGCGCCTACCTGGTAAACACAAGGTCCTGAGTTCGACTCCCGGTACCAAAAAATAAATAAGTAAATAAAAATTTTAAAAATAGAAGAGTGTAGCATCGTATAGTTTAACCACTACCACCAGAGAACATTAAAGTCCTCGCTACTGTTTTACTCTTTCAAATAATACTTTAGTAACAGTACTTGTATGCCCAGCTTTATGTAAAACAATGACAGTGTCAGGCTGGGGATATAGCTCAGCGGCACAGTGCCTGCCTGGCAAGTGCAAGGTCCTGAGGTCCATTCCTGGTACCAAAAAAAAAAAAGAGAATGACAATGTATCTGATGAAAGTTCTGGAAACTGAGTCTCTGAATCAAAGGCATCTCCATTTCAACATTGGTAGCTAAGGCCGAACTGTCCTCCAAAAATTGGCATCTACTTTCATGCTCACTCATAGTGAGTAAAAGTATGTTTTCTTCACCTTTGGCCAGGGGTTTAGGGACTTAGGAATTTCCAAACTTTGTAGACGAGGGCCAGGGATATAGCTCAGTGACACAAGCACCTGCCTGGTAAGTATGAGGTCCTGAGTTCAATTCCCGGTACCAAAAAAAAAAACTTTCCAGTCTTCATTAGGCAGAGTTATTGGTGTTTGTGTTCTTGTTTCAGTAGGTATTTCTTTCATTATGAGTGGAGTATTTCAGGGTGTTTGTGTTTCTTTTTAATGGGAATTGCCGCTCCGTGGGCCTACAACTTCTCCTGTTGCGATATCCATCTTTTTCTTACTGATTTTTGATAATGTTTTGCATATTAGGGAAGTTAGCATCTGCTCCTCTTAAATATCACGTGCTTGGTGCTGAGGTGTAGAAATGATCTCGCACTCCGTGATTTCTAACATTGACGCCATGTCCTCTTTCATCTCCCTCCTCCCTGGTCTTGCCGTGTGTGTGTGTGTGTGTGTGTGTGTGTGTGTGTGTGTGTGTGTGTGTGTTGCCGGCCGGTCCCAGGGGAGCCCCTCAACGGCCAGCTGGACGCTGGAAGGAGCCAGGAAGGCAGAGAGGAGAAGGAGAGGGGCGAGGAGAAGGAGGACCTGCGTGGGGAAGCCCGGGAGAGCTTCACCTCTGAAGCCGCTCAGACCTTCCCCGTCAGACATCCGGACAGATTCGCTTCCCATCGGCCAGACAACTTGGTGCCACCAGCACCACAGCCCCCGAGGCGGAGCCGGGATCACAACTGGAAACAGCTGGGGATCACAGAGTGCTCGACAACCTGCGGCAAAGGTGAGCCCGTGTGGAGGACGCAGAGCCCAGGCCGGGAAGGGAGGGCCCCAGGGACACGGCAATCCCTCGCCTCCATGAACCTGCCTGTGAGATGGGCCACTGGTGTGACGTGTTGTGTTAGAGGTCCTGAGACGCCCCTCAGAGGCCTCCAGATGCTTCCCCAAGCTCTGGGGTCCGGGGTTTTTCTGGGGCTGCATCACATAGGCATAGAGGTCAGCTACCGCAGACCTCAGCTACCCAGAGATCCAGATTTGGGCACCTGAAAGCAGCATTCTTTGTAAATCACGTCATTGTCATAAATCGTTCTGTGAAACGCACAGAGCAGGGTCCAAATTCTCAGTGTAGAGACACGCTCCTCTCAGGTAGAGTACCCCTGGGGTGCACACTTATCTCCCAGCAGCTGGCCCAGGGCCATGCCTGAGGACAGGCCTGGCTCCAGACGTCAGGATTTGGGCCCACCCCTCCACTCCCTGGCCTGCTGAGCTAAGCCTGCCCTGGACATTGATGTTTGTTGATAATCATGGGATACACTCAAGATCTGAAAGTTTATACACAAGTCTAGGTTGTGGAGGACTTCCAAAAATGCCTCCTGAAACTCATTCTCAAATCTAAGGATTAAGGCAAAAAATTCTCAAATTTAAGGATTTCAGAAGGGACCAACTCCCTTCCATACTCCCCTGATAAAGTCTTAACCATGGACTCATCAACTGTCCTTAACCCGGTTAGCTAGGGCCACCGGGAACGAACCTGCAGCCTAACCAAGCCAGCTTTACAACTCTGTGCATTTGGGAGGCCCACACCGCAGAATCCTCCCAAGTCTGAACTGTGACGTGGACCCAGGGCCCCATTTCCTTGGAAATTCCCAATTTAGGATAGATGTGAAATGTGGTGTCCAGACCCCTCTTAAGTGACACAGAGCCTCTGGGTTGGAAATCGATGCCATTCCTGTTTTAAAGGTGGCTTAGATCTCCTGGCAAGGATACAGCTACAAAAGGTGTCGTTGAAGTGCGTCTCGTGTATATGATAATAGTCTCTCATTTACTGTAAAGTTTTATCTTGGCCCCTGGATCAGCTGTCCTCAGAGGGAAGTACTATAGCAACAGGCTGGATCCCCCAGGACTTTTTCACAAACCAGGAAATGGTGCGATCCATGCAGAGTATTGGTTTGGCAATTTTTTTTTTCCATTTCTTTTCTTCAAGAGACTTGGATCTGAGGGTATGATATTCAGAAGCGTTGGCATAATTAGCACACAGAAAAATCTCTCACAGCTGCTTCTAAAACTTTCATCTTTTTCATAGAAGCATTGGGCTGGCGCTTTTGAGACTAGGACCTAGATCTTCCGTGCTTTTGAGAACTGGAGGATCTTTCTGCCCAATTCCCTAATGACTTGGTGACTGGAGTATTAATTTGTAGAGGTTTTCATGAGCCAGTTTTATTGTTCTCACACTTGATACATGTGCTCAGAATGTGGACCAGAGATTCATTGAACCGACTTCTTTTGTAAGCTCTGTGAGGGAAAATTAAATGTCTGAGACTGTTGTCTTAGCAGAGCCAGAGAGTGGGAGATAATTCTGCACTGAGGCCAAAATCCTTGTAATAAGATTCCACCCACGACACTGTAGACATACAGCACACGTTATGCAATCAACACAGGAATGAAGATCAAAATGCTTTCTTTTGAAATATTCTGCTGTTTAGGTGGTGGGGTGATGTCAAATACAGGAACCAGAGACACTCAGAACTAGGCTAGAAAGGACACATGATAGGCAGGATGACAGGTGTCACCATGTGGATTTCTGTAGGGCTGGCCTATCCGGGGAGCTTAAGGCACTGCCCTGAGGACGTACGGAGGTAAGGGCAGAGGCACCGCCATCGCCAGCCTGTCCTTCAGATAGCACCCAGACCTGTGTTCCCTGGTCAGACGCTACCTGCTCCCCCGGGTGCTAATTCCCCGGGCCCCGCCCTCCTCTCTAGCACTTGTGACGGAGCAACCCCATATCCGAAGCACCCTGGTAACTTGGGCCCCCAATCCAACCCTGGCTGTGTGATCCACAGAGAAGTAAAGGCTCCCTCTCCCAACCACAAGTTTGAGCTCCACCTGGGCATCTCCCTGAGTTCAATCTCTACCCCCCACGCCATCCCCTCAAAAGAAAACATCTCCCTCCTATACTGTCCTCTGGTGTGTGGTCAGCAAACAGCTGCTCACGCTCCAAGGCGTAACTCAGATGCCACCTCCTCCCTGCAGCCTTCCTGACCCTGCAGGACACAAGCAGGCGCTTTGTCCTCGGGACTTACAGCAGTTTGGGACATGGTGCAGCCTCTGCAGCTGGAGTCAAAGTGGGGGGCACATTAGGTACCCTCAGTGGGTCTTGGATAAGGAAAACATCATCACCACAATTCAGAGGAGGGATATAGGAACTGTAAGACAAGATGTGGGGGTTACATCTTATTATATTCTACATATTTAAGCCGATTTCTGCCTTCACCTGTGTTCTATTGGTAGCAGAAAGATGTAGGTTTTAGCTAGACATGCTGGCGCATGTCTATAACCCCAGCACTGGGAAGGCTGAGGCAGGAGGATCACTGCCAGTTCGAGGCCAGCCTGGGCTACATAGAGAGACCCTGTCTCAACAAAAAAAACTTGGAAAAAAAAGAAGAATGCAGATTTTGCATTAAAAACTGTAGCATCTTTGTCTCTAGGTTTCCATACGATTGCATTTAATCTGCTAAGGTAGCGTTTTACCTTTACGCAACAGGGACACACACGTTGTGTGGCTGTCCGTCTGTCTTTCTCGCTCTAACCCAGTGCTCGAGCTCTTTGCCTCCCTCCTTCCCTCCCTCCCTCCCTCCCACCTCTCTCCCTCCCTCCCTTTGTCCCTCCCTCCCTCCCTCTCTCCCCCGCCCTCCACTACTGGAATGTGAGGTGTGGCACTTAGCATCCATCTTAAACATTTAGCCTGTATATCCCACACTTGGCATCTGCCACGCAGTGCCTGAGATGTGACGTTTCTAGTCTCTTCTTTACCCCACTAAATGGCCCTGGTTTTCAAGCCAAAGAGACGCCTCGGAAGGGAAGAGCTACTGCCCCCCACCGCTGCCCTCTCTGATGTCCTGGCGTGCTCTCTCTTCCCACTGACAAGCGGCAGCAGCACGTGAGTGTCCCTCCCCGGCCCGCCCGCAGAGGTGATCCAAGTGTGCAGGCAGGAAAGGCGACGGGGAGAGGAGACGTGGACGCCCGGACCTGCCACTCACCTCACGGTCGTCAGCGGTGACCGGGGTCTGAGCAAGAAGCGCCAAGCCTGCCTGCACTGTCCAGCCCTGTCCTGCACCCCCGGAGTCCATGGCCCGGTGCCCGCCTCTGCCCCTCACCAACCTCCTCCGGACACTGCCCAGGTGCCCAGACGGGGCCACCTGCACCACGTGTGTCTCCCCCATGCCAGCATCTGCCAGTGCTGCCAGCTGCGTCCTTCCAGTCACAGCCCTGTCCCCCAGGGGCGTCCCCGAGGAGCCCATACCCAATAGCACCGCTGCCCAACCTCTGTCAAAACCCTGGCTGGTTCACTTCCTCACTCCTGCCGTTCCAGCTCTACATTTATTTAATTTTTTTTTGTCCTTCTTTTGTCTAATTAACCTCCCCACGGCCCCCTGAACTCCCCAGCTCACCCCACTAATTACCTACTAGTTACCCATGGTACAGTGCTCATCTCTAACGTAACGCACTTCTCTTCTAACCTGCACGTCCACATACGAGCTGGAAAACCAACCCCAGACTTTTTTTTTTTTTTTTTTTTTTTTTTTTTTTTTTTTTTTTTTGG